CTCTCTCTCTCTCTCTCTGTCTCGCTCGCTCGCTCTCTCTCGCAATATTTCTCGTCACACACGCACGCACGCACGCACACACGCACACATACACACTCTCTCCCTCTCTCACTCTCTCTGTATCTGTCTCTCTCTCTCGCAATATTTCTCTCTTTCTCGGGCGCTATATATACACACACACACACATATATATATATATATATATCATTTATATATACTCGCCTTTATCCGTTTCTTTCCTTTGCTCACTTCCTTACTCCCCTCTCGCGGATAGTATGGCCCACGACCAGTCAAGCATGGAAAAACATTTGCAGCAAAATGACCGTATTTCAGCCGAAACTTTTTCACTCCCCGAGGCACAAAATGTGAATTTACGCCTATATTACACGCGCACGCGTGCGTGCGACCATGCCCGCGTGTGCGCGTCCGTGGGTGTATGTGTGTATGTGTGATTATGTGACTGTAAAAACACGCATTATAGCCGTATATCCACTTTTTGTGCTTTGGGGGAGAAAAAGTTTCATTCGAAATACGGCCATTTGCTGGTGAAAGTTTTTCTGCTTGACTAGTCGTGGGCGATACTATCCACGAAAGGGGAGTAAGGATGTGAGAAAGAGGGAAGTGGACGGAGAGAGAAAAGACGGAGACAGGAGAGTATATAGGGATATACCAGTATATAGAGAGGTGGCTTCCTCTCTCCCCCTCCTCTCTGCCTTTGACATCTTGACATCCTCGCACAAAGAAACCTCCCAGATTCTCACGGAAACGCGTGTTGTAAACACAGTAGACGATCACGGAGCGTGCGCAGTGCCTCCAGTATTAATACCCCTTTCCCCTCTCCCTCTATCTCTCTCTCCCTCTCTCTCTCTCTCTCTCTCTCCCTCTCTCTTGCAAGTTTTCTCTTTCTCGGGCGCTATATATATATACTCTCCTCTCTCCGTTTCTTCCTCTTCCTCACTTCCTTACCCTGACTGCCTCACTTTTCTTCTCATCTCTCTCGCTCTCTCTGTCTCGTTTCTCACCGCTCTCTTTCTTCTCCGGCTTCCTCTGTCCTCCTCTCTGGCTTCCGCTGTCCTCCTGTCTGCCTTCCTCTCTCCTCCTCTCTGGCTTCCTCTCCTTCTATTCCCTCTTTCTATCACTCCCTCTCCTCTCTCACACATCCTGCTTCCACCAACTCTAACTGACACGGTAGAATAATTTATTGAGAAAGTACCCCGATTTAGTAACACTGTTTTATTTTTCAGCTAGTATAGTACCTAGCAAATAATCTTAAACCAGATCCAACCTCTCCCCTCCTCTTCTCTTGCTTCCTCTCTCCTTCTATCATCTCTTTCTACCACTCCCTCTCCTCTCTCACACATCCTGCTTCCACCAACTCTTAACTGACACAGTAGAATAATTTATTGAGCAAGTCCCAAGATTTAGTAACAATGTTTTATTGTTTAGTTAGTATAGTACCTAGCAAATATATAACACATCAGTCTTAAACCAGACACTGACACTGTCATTTCATTCTGATATGATAGCATCTAAGAAAGATACATTGTTTGACAAATGTGGTCTACTTCATGTGGCAGTCAAATATTCTAACTTTCTATATATTGTAAAATAACAACATGAACTCAAAGAACACCTGTGTGTTACCTTAAGCTTAGCTTCAGAATGCGTGTAGTAATAGCAGGGGCGAATAATGACAGTCTGTCATTATTCATTTCTGGTAATAGGTGTGTAGTTTTCTCACTATGGTTGCTCATAAGTGACCAGCTTAATCTCATGTTTAGAGAACACACCTGCAGTGTACAAAGTAACGTGAGTAAATAAGTAAGCATACAAGGCACCAGTTTTAAAACGCATTTTAAAACCATGGCGCACACCAGCAAATTCTAAATGATAAGATAGATGAAGGGAAAATACTCATATTAAACTTGGTTGAAACTTCGTCACGGTGCATGACACGCAATACAACCTGTATCTAGTGATGTAACAGGTTTTTTGAAGACGAAATAAAATGTCGTTGCAATATATAGTAACTGTATATATTGCGAATGACAGTAGTTTACATGAAAGTAACACAACCTAGTAAAGCTTAGTAATAACTGTGTAAAAAAAGCCATCTAGCTTTTTTATAGTAATAACCCTACTTCTACTATTTTTGAAGGATACATGTGATCTAGACATTACATGGAATGGAATGTGGGTAGATTATCAATTTTATTGGGTAGTAATTGGTAGAGGGTTACTAGTAGACAAAATATTTAACTGCGAACCCGGGTTGGCGGCAGACAGAATAACCAGATCTTCTTCTTCTTCTTTCGCATTATTAGTCCCACTGTGGGGGTCGCTGCAGTGGACTCCTCTCCTCCATTTTTTCCTATCCTCCACCTCGTGTGTCACCAATCCCTTCTTTTTAAAGTCATTCTACATGCAGTCCTTCCATCTTGTCCTTGGTCTCCCCCTTCCTCTTCTACCTGGTGGTTGCATGTTCAGCATGCGTCTTCCTATGTAGTTCTCCTCTCATCTCATCACATGTCAAGACAGAATAACCAGATCAACCATCTATTTGCCTGTACTTGAATTTGAATTTGTAAAATAACTTCTCACTTTACAACACCTTCATTATTCGATTTCGCTATAAAGAAGAAGAGACACTTGTATTTTCAAGCTCAATCATAGGTTTACAAGGCATTCACCCATCAGCATTCCACACAATTCCCATGTACTTACAGTTGCACACTGGCCAGTGTTGCCATCCAAAGTCCATCAATGAGATTAGCAGCCTCCAGCTTCTCAAATTCTCTCTTCCTGGTTTTTACGACATCACGTATGGTCACTGAAAAGCACATTAGCGAAGTTCTTGATTCCTTCTTTCTTCCTTCTCTTCTGCCTCCCTCCCCCACCCCCCCGCTTCACTCTATCAGCAATAATTTTTCGGCAAAACGATTTCCAATGGATGCAATTGAATTCTGTACACCAGAAACATTCATATCTGTTATCAAATTGATGTGATTCTACATTGAGAATTTTTGAATGTTTTCACACAATGATCGCCACTTGGCTGTAATTGCTTCTCAACCGGTACATCCATAATGGCAACTGCATAACTAAGGGTTTCACTAACATTACATCAAATACACGTCAACTCATTCGTGACGTAGTGAGCGTAGCGAGTGAGTGGCATAGTCTTACAATGCAATTGATCTGACGTAGTGATGAAATCGTGAAATTAATGAATGGAAGAGCAAATGTGCGCGTGCATGCATGCGCATGCACATGCATGCACATGCACATGCACATGCACATGCACATGCACATGCATGCACATGCATGCTCTCTCTCTCTCTCTCTCTCTCTCTCTCTCTCTCTCTCTCTCTCACACACACACACACACACACACACACACA